TTCGATTTAACCGAAATATAATGCAATGGACCTGGCTTTAACAATAGGCTTCGACCTCGACTTGGATCAGGTTCGATTTAACCGAATGAGAAAATGCAATGGACTTGGCTTTAACAACAGGCTTCGACCTCGACTTGGATCGGGTTCGATTTAACTGAATAAGATGCAACATACCTGGCTTTAGCACAGGCTTCGACCTCGACTCGAACCGCAACCGAAGATAAATGTTTGATTACAAAAATTCCCAAGCTTCCGAGCTTGGCTCAGATGGAAGGATGACCTTGAGGATGAGCTGAAATGTGCTGAGTAGGAGACCTGCAAGAGAAAACACTCCGACGCCCAAGTTAGGAAGAATTCGAGTTGTATTCGAGAGAAAATACAATGTTCGCGTACCTGGGATAAAAGCAAATAGTTTCTATATAGAGGCAAAGTCTCTAACAAGATCCCTGACAAGGCCTTCAACGGCTCTTTAAGGTAAGTGTGGATTACGGCGTGCTGTCGCGAAGTTTGTTGAAATATATGGCTGACACATTTAGGTCGGTTCAAAAAAAAGAATGGGAACGAGAGAAAAGGATATGCCACCTAAGTGTAGGGTTTAGAGTTTCTTTTAAAACTTGTTAAGTGCATGAGATATGCACTTGATGCATGACGATAAGACTAACAAAAACCACGTGTTCATGCAAATTTGAACTTCCAATGGCAGTATGTAGTACTTATTGTAGCGGGAATCTGACATCTGAGCGAGAGGTCAGACCAATTCAATTCATTCTGGTAACCGACATATACTACGTAGGTACCTGTGCATGTGAGGCCTCGGTCGGTCCTAGAAACGGTCGTACGGCGTGAAGAGTTAACGATTGGAATTCCTAGAGATCATAAGGGATGAGATAAGAATGGAGGTGGTACAAAGTTGTGCTGATATTAAATTGCGTCCCTTATAAACGAAAGAGCTCTTACCAAAAATAGCTAATGAAGATTGGGTATCCTGTCGCTAACAATTGAGTGTGACCTATCAACTAGCTCTAACTCTAAAGGCCGAGGAAAAGCTAAAGAGATCCGTATGAGGCTCCATGGGAAGCTGATACGTGACCTCTGACGCAACTATCTTATGATGGATGGGTGCATCTACAAATGTGTATTGCCCCAATGTCATGAATGACAAATGATGCTCCATTTTACTTTGTATTTATTTTTATCACTTGAAAAATGTGTTACAGCATATAATATGTTTTTTATTTAGCTTAACAAATGAATTTGACCCTCAATGCATGATGCAATAATGTATATGCATTCTAAAAGCTAAATGGTTGCAACATGTATACATGATACTCATTTTTATTTTTGCTCAAATACTAGACTGTGACTATGAATGCCCAATGCATGATATTTAAATTTTCATAATCTAATCATGATATGAATTTTTTTTTTTTTGAAGAATATGTATGCAAGTGATTTGAATGCATGATTTGTGAAAATATGGTTGAGTGAACAAGACGTTTTTCCATATTTTACAAAGATATTATCTACTCTCATCCTTATTATTAGCAATTATTTAGCAAAGAATCAACTGAGAAAAGGTAATGTCGACATTGGAGGAAACTTTGTCAACATTTTTTTTTTTCATTTTCTTTTGCTTTCGTTTTTTTTAAATGAATTCCTTCACTTGATAAGAGATAGATACGATACATCAAGGTAATTTCTCAACCATATTAGGTTTGATGGGGGATTCTTTTGTAGAGATAACTCATGTGGCAGTTTAGATAACTATCAAAAGTAATTCATAACATTGTACATCTCCCTTGATTAAAATGCTTTATAAACTCAGCCTTGTAATTGACAAGAAGATCGCTTACAAGAAAATAGATTTAACATTAGGAGTAATGGAGGATAGAAATCATGATTTTGTAATAAAGCTTGACGATGAATAAAAGTCAGCAAGCTTCCTTTTTAAAGAAAAGGAAACCAAGAATTCATGGATATTTTGTCAAATCTCTGGAACAATAAGAGATTGATTTTTTTTTTTTAACCTTTGGGTAAGAGATTATAATCAAATGAACAGAAGAGTAGCAGTGATCCAATTTCTTTCGACAAATAACTTTGAGAATTGATTACGTAACTCCCCAAGAGTTCATCTCATCGACCTCGTCGTTTCTTTGAGTTTTCGATGAAATCATCTTTCTAGCCACGTTTTATTCTTCATGGAAATTTTGTTGTGGTCCATTTTGAATGTAAAGCTCATTTTTTAGCCCTAACTTCGACGTGCAGTTGATGCAATCCACTTTTAATGCAAAGGACCTCTCTTTTTCTCAAAGTGTAGCTCCTTATTATGTAGAATATACTTTGTGAATGTTGAAAACTTCTTAAAATTGAAAGATTTTGTGCAATGTAACAATCTCAGTCTAACGACGGCCTTTGTCTCAAAGCTTTGTACAATGCAGTTACCATTTTGCCCCAACATAGCATTTCTCGACTTTGCCCCAGTTTGAAAATTTTTAAAGAGGACCTTGAAGCCTGAACTATAGTTGTTGATCTATATTGATTGCCTGAGTCATTGAACTAAAAGATTGTCACGACCTTTTCTTCTTTTTTTTTTCTCTTTTTTCCTTTTTTTTTTGGTCGGACATAATCTTTTTTAGAAACAAAATATGGTGCAATCACATATAAAATGTTGATCAAGCATAAGTCGCATTTTGCCCTCTTGACCGTTGTTTCAAATTATTTATTTGCCAATGCTGGTTCAGTATCATGATGAAAATTATCCCAAAAAAAACTCATCAAAAGAGACTGATATCTTGAGACTATTTGTCAGGTCGCTAACTTCCCAATTCTCAAAATCACTATCCTCGGTCTTGGAATCACTTTTTTACTCAAAAGAAAACTAGACGAAGGATTAAGCTTGAAGAACAAAGTTGAGATAGATTTGGGAAGAAAATTTTAGATATAAATAAAATAAGTCAAAATAGGGAAATACTTGTGCAATCAAAAGTACTGATTCATGAAGCAGCAAATCATAAGAGTTCAATGTTATTTCATTACCTTCAAAGTTCTCAAGGTAACACTAGGTGGATTTTTGGACGTTTACCACGTAATTAGATGTGGCAGACTTAGTAAAAAGTTTTTATGGTAAGTAGGCAAATATTGATATTCATCACAAAAATTGTATGTGACGGGCTGAGCAATTGACTTTTTGCAGTAAATGGTCAACTCTCAATGTTGACTATATTTACCATATATCGGTAGGCTAGGCTCAAGGTAGATTAGGCTTAAAGCAGGTCAAGCTCAAGGTTTTACAGGGAGTGAGTAATTTTGGTTTCTTACCTTAATAGGCATGCTTGCCCCAGTATGAAATTTGATGGTTTCCTAGTTATCACATGAGAAGCAATAGGAAGACCAAGATAAAATTGGTTTGAGTTACGGATTTAGCCCGACAACAAAGTCCAGAAAAATGGTTGAGTTTTGAAAAAGATTATATCTCATTAAGGACCTTGAAGACATTCACATTTTCATTTTTTCCCATTTTTCATTTCTTTTTTCAGAACTTTTTTTTTTCACTTCTTTTTCGTTTCCTCCAAGTGACTTACAATGGTTGGTTTATGATTCTTGCTTAGGTCTCCACTAACAAGAATTATAAGAGTAGACCATATAAAAAATTATCATTGAAAATCTCAAATCATGTAATTTTTTATTGAGAGCATTTTCAAATAAAACTATTTTTTTTCACCAATGATATGATACGAGTGATGCATAAGTGAATGTATGACTTTGATTTTTTTTTAAGAAAAATAGCTCAATTTCCACACACTCACATTCTTTTTTACAAGTACTTAGCTAAATCATGGGTGACTAAAGCTTCATTGCCGTTTTAACACTAGCAAGCAATCTCAAAGATGATTTCAAAGAAGAAATAAACTTCATTGATAATGCAAAGTAATAGCTCAACATTGATTTTGATAATCTTGTACACTCATGATTCTAGTGCTTCATGTATTCACCATCTTCCTTTGAAAACTTTAGCCATCCTACCTTCATTAGAACTTGCAATTTATGCTTTAGTGAAGTACAGTTCTCAGTTGAATGACCTACAACTCCTGCGTGGTAATCACAGTGGACTTGCGGGTCGTACCACTTTTGATAAGGTGGTTGCAATAGCTCTACGCGTACGGGAACTAATAGATTACCTTGAAATAATTGGGATAACAACTCAGTGTAGGATATTGGGATCGGATGGAAGCTCTCTCGCTTTAGTTGCCTCCGACTACTATGATTATCGGGTAATGTTGGCAACCTTAGTCGTGGGTCATACTGTAGAGCCAATGAGTTTATAGGTACTGTATATGGATTATTGTATATCGTAGGTCTTTGCTGGTGCATCCACTTGCGCTTCGAGATTACTGCCTCGACTTTATTTTTCCTTTTAACAGAGCTTCTATTCGTTTTAGAATGTGGCTCTTTATTAATTAAAGGCACTGGCAGCTGTTCTGTTTCTTTTCCCTATCTTTGAGCATATTCTTTCCCTGTAGTTTCTTCAGCATTTCTGTTGGTAACATTTTCTTTTTCTTTACTTTTTAAATTGGCCTTTGATGTTTGACCATCTTGGAATGCAAACTCAACCTGACAAATTGTAGGAGCTTGTTGGTCTTTCTTAGAAAGCTGAGCGTCATATGACGAACTATGTTGGGGGAATCCATCTGTTGATTGACAAAGAGGTGGGTCTACCCTAGGTGATGAATTATTACGAAGTTCGACTAAATTGTTAGGTTGAGAAATGTCCCCAATTATAACAATATTATTTAAGACATTGAAAATTTCCGTGATTTGCTCCTGAATTTTATCGATGTCTTGTCTCATCTGCTTTAGCTCTAAATTCTGCACCTCCATGACCTGTTCTTGAATCTCGTATCTTATTTTCTTTAGCTCGGCATTAAATTCTTCCATGAATCGCTCGTGGATTTTGTCTCTAATATTCTTTAGCTCAGCATTAAATTCTTCCATGTTATGCTGTTTTATATACCTTGTATATAAAGAATAGTAAATATGTAGTTATTGAGCTATTTTTCTAACAGTTCGTGTTAATTATGATGTAATGGAGAATGCATAGATTTTGATTTTTTAAGATAGAAATTGATATGCATGAGACGATGGGATGCGAATGTTGGATCATCAATTAGGGGAATTATGCGAAACAATGCCTGCGAAAATATTGCTTTTTTTTAATATATATATTTAGACATATGAAATGATGCATTAGAACGATAAATTTTAATTTATGATATAGACATGTAAAATGATGATACAAAAGATAGAAATATATATTTTTTGAATTTATGATATGGACATGCAGAATGATGCATGAACAGGATAAGTTTTTTTTATTTTATTTTCTTTGGAGGAGAAAAAAAAATTATCTAAATATGCTACAAACTGCCCCAAGAATGTGATAAATACTTCATGCAATCATTAATACATTCCAAATGCATGCAAATGTAATGGTAGATTCTAATTCACCCTAAGAGAGATAAACATGAATATATGCATAAAATTAAACACTAGGGTTATAGAGCCGAACTCCTGAGTTTTTGATAGAAGTGAATAAGCTTGAAAGTTTTTGGCGTGCCTACATAGAATGTTTAGAATCCCTTTGAAAGACAACACTTCTAAATTCACTTAGAAGTAGACTAAATATGTGACTCAAAAAGTAAAATAAATGTGATGCACATGCATGTTGATAACAAATAAATCATGAACAAATAGGAATAAATAAAAGCTAAATGATTTTTTATTAAAAAAAATGGTTAATTTTAAAACCTTATGGTTAAAGCTCCAAATCAACCCTAAAAACAATATGTCATGAACAACATAACAACTCACATAAAATGCAATATGAATATGGTGTGAAGTTATGTACTAATGCATCTTAGAGGACAATGGCCCCCAAATCTTCCATATGCTTTGGCAGGAACCAAAATTCTACGAAGGTCACACTACTCAGTCTCCGATCTAATATTAAAGGTAAAGCCCGGGTAGGAGGCTCGTGGATTTGTGTGTAATGCATAATGATGCAAAAATAAAAGCCAATAATTAAAAGACAATATATGCAATAAAAAAATGGACCAAAATATTTTATAACGGGTAATAAATGACAAAATAATGGCTTGACTCTCAAGGTCCCTAGCGGAGTCGCCAAGTTGTCACAACTTCATCGCAACGCGGAGCGGCCGACGTCATCCCCTGAAATATCTCTTTAGAGATAAGGGTTTGGAGTCGCCACCAATCATCTACGAGGTGTGATTGGTCACCTATTTAAAAAAAAAACTTGGTCTACGAAAACAAAATTTCTGGTTCGGGAGTCGACTGAACGTAGGAAAGGTGTTAGCATCATACGACACCCATTCGAAAACGGTACCATATTTTGTCAAAAATCATCATATTATCTTATTTGGTCCAAAAAAAATGTTTTTATTTTATTTTAAATGTCTCATATTATATTAATTCACATTTTGTAATAAGATATGAATTAATAGGTATGAGTGGCACGAAGGCCATTAGGAAAATTAAGCACCTCGAGAATATTGGCGACATGAGTATTGATACTCAACATCTCACCAATGTGCCACCACGTTGAGATATTAGCTATGTTCCTTTTTAAAATACAAATTTTGAATTTTTGAATTTTGTTAAAAAAAACTCCAAACGAAATCTTTTATTTAAAATAACTATTTAGTAAAAACAATAATAAAATGAGGCATTCAAAGACTCAAACTTGGGCCGATATATTAAAAACCAAACACCTTACTACCATGCCAATATCCTAAAATGTAAACATAGTATTCTTTTACAAAAACAAAGCTTTTAATTTATTTTTTAAAACTAAAAAAAAGACGAATTTTGTTAAATTAAAACAAAAAATAAAAACAACTTTTTATTTATTTCAAATTTAAAGAGATTCTTTAAAAGAAATATTTTTATTTCAAAATTTAACAAAATAAATCAAATTTACTTAAAACAAATTTATTTGTTGAGATTCTTTCCAACAATTATAATTAACAAACTTATTTTAAAAGATTTTACCTTTACTTATTTTCCTAAAACTTGAATTTTATAGCTTTCTTAAAAATATTTTTTTTCTTTTAAACTTAGTTTTTACTAATTCAAAGAAATTTATTTTAAATCTATTTACAAAATTCTTTACACTTTTTCAAAAAGAAATTACTTTAATAAAATGTTATTTTAAAACAAATTCCTTTTTAGAAAAAAAAAACCTTTTATTTATTTTGCATTTAAAAAAATTGCTTAAAACAAAATATTTCCTTTTCAAAATTAACTTTTATTTACCAAAAAGAAAAAAACTATTTTTATAAAAAAAAGAAAATGATTTATCAAAATCATTTACTATTTTTCAAAAACGTATTTAAAAAGTATTACTTTAAACCTTTTTGTTTTTTAAGAAAACTTTAACAGCATCAGATTATACCGTCTACCAGCAATGATCTGTGAATCTTGTTTTCGTCGGGTTTTGCTTGGTTGTGGAGGTCATCAAGGCTTCGCGTGGGTTGGTCGTGTATGCTCGCCGGTCCTACAGGATGAGTTACTGGAGTTTATTGTAGAGAGAGAAATAGGGACTGGTGAGAGGTAGAAGATGAAGAAGAAGGTGACCCTTTTTCAAGAGAGGAATAAAACTAAATTTTTCTAAGGGTCTAGTACTTGTTCTCTGTGTCTCTATGTGTCCTTTAAATACACAAAAAAATAACAATAACATGCGTGAGTCAAGTAAAACCAGAGAGAAAAAAAAAAGAAGGGAAAACGTAGGGAATGACACCTGAACCTTGACCAAGAAAAAACCAAAGGGAGAAAAAAAAACTATTAATATCAAACGTTTAAAATAAAATCTTTATTTTTAAATTTGTAATTTTATTAATAAAATCAAAATCTTTAAAAGAAAACCTTTTTTTTAATTTAAATTAAAACTTTAACTTATAAACAATAATAAAGTAATCTTTTTTTAATGAAAATAGTTAAAAATAATAATAATAATAAATAATTAAAAATTAGTTGGACCAATAACGGTGTCTACAATATTTATTTGAGTATTCAATTAATAATCATGATACATTGCTATAATTAAAAAATTATTTTTAGTCTTAAATTTATTATATTAATTTTAATGAGTTATAATTAATTTATAATCAATGACATAAATATCTTTAGAAATTAAATTAAATATATTATTAACTAATTATTAATAATATCTTAAATTAGCTTAAAAGAATTTTTTTCTATTTTAAAGAAACCAATCACTCATTTAAGGGCCAAACCGTTACAACTAGCATTTGATTCTCACATTCAAACAGTAGTAAGCTCCACTAATGGACATCAATAGGATAAAGATGGAAAAAAAACTTTATTCATTGTGCCAAATAAAGATACGAGAAGAAAAAGAAGAAACTTTGTATTAACAAAGTTAATTATTTTAAAATTGTTATTTATATTATTTTAGGCTTTTATATTTTTAACCAATGATGTGGCATTGAATTTATTAATTTCAGTTTTTTTTAAATAAACTATGTCACTTTAATTGGGGGTAGTATAGTCTTTTAGCCTCCTTTGAGATTAGTAATTTAATCTTGTGAACAGAACAATTAAGTTACAGAATGAATTTGAGTGTTTTAGCGTGATGACTAAGGATTCATCAATTTTGCAATTCTTGATCTAGGTTGCAAACTCAAAATATTCAAGCTAGGTTTGACCAACTTTCTTGTGGAGTGTTCAACCTTGAGTAGGGAATCAGTTCTCCTTACCTCTTGGTCTTCGATCATCAAGGTAATCCTTCATCTAATATTTCCTTGGGATTGTGCTTTTTGATTTGGGGTTTTAGGAATTGACAGTTAGGGGTCCTCTTTAAGTGGGAGGGTTTTTATCTACAATTTCCTAGGGTTTCATATTAGACATTATTTGAATTAGATTTATTATTAGGAATTATATTATTTGATTTATATTTTCTATTACTATGATTATGAATTTTTCGTAAATAAATAGGTGGGTAGTTATGTATCCATATTGAGGAATTCAATTCAATGAAATCATATTTTGTTATTATGTCTATTTTTTCTCCTTCCTAAAATTTACCGTATGATGTATTCGCTATGACATTTTTATTTTGTTTGAAAGAATTTAAAATGTTGAAATCATGCATGTAGTAACGTCTCTAGTTAATCTAAGTTCAAAAAGTCGAGTCTTTACATAACTGCTCCCCTCCTCATCTCTATATATCCCCTTCTCTCCCTCCCCATCTCATAGAAGTTGGATGACATTACCATAAAAAAACAAGAGAGAAAATATCTGTAAAAGAAAAATAGAGAGTGAGTGTT